CACTCGGAGAGAGAACGCAAAATTTTCACGGCAGAACAAACAGAAGGGAAGGGAGAGTACATCAAACAGACGGTACGGACTTGCAAAATTTAAACGAACACCACAACAAACGGTGGCAACTGTTGAGAAGAAGTAAATCATGATATTTTTTTCCCTTCAAAAGTAATCACTTGACCTAATCCTATGCCAAACCTGATATCGGCCGAGAACTGCAGGTATATGACAGCTGAGTTACGTCTGCTCGAAAACAACCAAAGTATCAAACTTTTGAGCAGCGTTACCGGACCAAATGTATCACATGACAGTTACCAGTTCACCTGTAGTTGCGGTGACACATATATTGGCAGAACGAATCGTTGTTTGGTTCCAGTGTTAGAGCACATAAGAAAATGGATTGCACAATTAACGACGTGACCGATAAAGAGAAAAACAATGTCGATTGCGAAACGCGAAAAACGGGTCAAAATACAAATGAAATAATCCCTGAAGCTTTTGGTTTTCTCCTCATCATAACATACAACCCAGCCCCCTTTGTGCGCGAAAGAAGTTGATCCCAAAATGTGTTTTTAACATAGCACTACTGTTAATAAACTGTATCCCTCTCTCCGCTTCATCGTCAGCTTTGATTTTTCGACTGCGCTTATAACCGTTACCTTTGCTTGCATATAAACGCAAATTTTTTTTTAATGCAACGATCCATGTACTTAATTGAGATACATACACACACATCTGGTAACCTGGAGGTTTTCAATCGGTCCTTGTAAATGATGTAATAATAATAATAACAATAATAATAATAATGAGGTAAACATAACAAAAGATAACAAATAGGTTAGAAAGTAAATGTTTCGTTAACGTTTGACACTTTGTGTATTTTTGATAGTCTTTCGCGTTGCTTGTAGGTTGGGGAAATGGTCAAGAGAACTCAGAGTACACTTTCAAAACGTTCACACAATTGGTTTCTAACCAACAACGTTGCCCGAACCTCAATCCGGTAAGTGGGGAAGATCGAACATTATGAGACGGTGGCAAGACCCAAAACTTTTGGTCATGCTTTGAAATCGAAAGACAAGCAGATGCGCGCGGTATGTTTCGAAACAGTAAATAGGAATTAGTGTAATAACTTTGGCTAGGGAATAGTTTTCTATATGCAAAACATGTAGTTAGAACTTGGTTATTCACTCACCAACAATCCCTGAAAGGGACCATCTACTGCTGAAAAGCCTCACGTGTCTTCGACTTTGGGGGACTAGATCCCTCAACCATATAGCAAAACATTTCCGACTGTTGTACCTAACCATTGTGAAAAAACTAGTGCCGGAACCGCCAATGCACCGGCCGAACGAACGCATTTTACATCATTTACAATACAGCCTACAGTGATAACTGTATCCCCATGGTAAACAAACTTGCCGACTAAATCCTTATAGCGGTCATTAGCGATGGTGATCTCAGACTCCCATCAATCTTGAAGAATGCACTTTGATGGATCAAAGTGCATTTCATTGTCTCATTATAGCTTTCATCCTCACCAGAACACAATAAGGGCTAGGCTTGGCCGTACATTCACCAGGTTTTGTGAAACTTGTAAAACTGCGAAGAGACCCACGGATTCGAATAAATTCAATACAGATGGCATGCACGTACTATCAATATTGCCTGATATTTGCACCTGTCACCGGCGTGCTTTGGACTCTGTGGACCGAGATTGGAACCCCGCCACTGCCACCCGACTTTGGTGATAGGCAGCTTTGCCGGTCGCCCGGTTCAATGCCACACATCACCTATCGGGGCCTTATGTGGTTTGCCCACTCCAAGTCCCGCGGGGCTTAGGTTGCTGGTTTCCACCACTGAACAGCAGGTCCTCGTGCAATAAGAGTATGAAATCGATTGCTGATCCTCGTCTACCCGTTTCTTCCATTTTTGGCATACAAGAATGACTGTTCCAAGTATTCTCCGATCAAATCGCGATCTATAGCGCAAAACTAGTGCTGTGAGCCAAGTAAAATGGGAACGGTTAATCCTTGAGACTTCGCGCTTGTATTCTCAAGACTCGTGAAGGGTGGTGGATCAACAAGTAATCAAGAGGTATATCGGAAGCTGAGACCACACTGAATCTACTTGCTCATTTGCGCCATAAATGTGCCATAAATAACGACTCATAGTTCAAGCGGAAATTTCGAGATAAGCATTTTATAACACAGTGCACATCTCTATGCGCCTATAGTCAGCTTCTATCAATAATACAAATGTCGAGGTTCAAACATATGCCGTTTCCAACAATCACCCCTGCCTCATCAAAGGTCATGCCATTTTAAAACCGCCAACTGTTTAAAGTTCCAAAAAAAACTCATTTATGTCTCTATTTGGTCTGCGGTGTACGACACTAGAATTGCAACTAAATAGCCCTTGCGGGGGGGGCAGCGATTTACAACATGAAACAAGTTGAATCGTCATGTACAGGAAATCGGTGGGAAACAGTTAAAATATGCCGCTCTCGAATTCGTCAGGTGAATCAAAGCTCCAGGTGGTTTTAATCAGCTAGTTGAAGTCAGTGAATGGGAATCGCAAGCCCAGGACAATCGAGGTTAAAACGGTGGCCACTTCCGTCCATCTCTACTGATCACCCGGACCAGTTAACTGGGGGGAATAAACCCCAGAAAACCGCGGCATATGGACAAATTGGGAATTGATGAGTACTTGCGATACGGAAAATAGTACGGTGCATTACCAAAGACAGACTGTCGTTGTTTGAACACCGCTGTCTACGCAGCATTGCACGAATCTGGTGGGGTAACCGGATGAGTAATGCTGAGGTTAAACGCAGAGTTTTGGGTATCCGCAGTCGCCTACTAGAGCAAATGGTCGACCTCCACAGATTACGTTGGTTAGGACATGTGTTACGCATGTCACCAGATAGGTTACCACGGCGAGCGATGTTCGCCGAAGTAGACACCGAGTGGAAAAAAGTCAAGGGTGGTCAAGCTAAGACCTGGCACGAGGGTATGAAAACCCTAACCAGAAGACTGGGTCACATAGGCCCCGTTAAGCTCCCTGGCTGGGGACCTCGGGGTGATCGTAACCGATGGTTAGAAACACTAAGTGATATGGCTGGGTGTCGCAACCAGTGGCGTTCGTGCATCTTCTCAATCTCTTTGCAACCTTCGTCTACTGAACTTCTCCGTTTTCTTTTCGACTGCTATTCTTCATCCAAATGGGCAGCCAAAAGACAGCAACCAAAACTGGCGCACGAATATGCGTGGTTAATGGTTGTTCAAACTGAACTAAACTGCATTACCAACAGAATGTCCAGAAACCATAGAAGAAATGATATTGGTAGTATATATGGCGAGTATCAAACAAGTCAATTGGTCACATGAAATTACCAGTATTGTCGCAAAAAACGTTGAGACCCATTACTTCGTAAAGTCAAAGACTTCCACAAGGATGACATGATGCAGATTGAATATCGCCAATATAACTCACTCATTGAGTAGCACAACGACTGGTTTGATCCGGGGTATTCCTACTTGAACCGTTTACTCCGCGTCAAGTTTTGCATTACCATAGGCTCTGAGTGGATTCTATCGGAATAATTCGTTTTGTCCGAGAAACATTCCATCAAAACGAACTTGTGACTTCCAATCGGAATAGGACCTAAACTTTTACCACACACACACACACACACACATTATACGACCGGCACGCTGAGACACGGTAGACTTGCAGGCAACGATCAAACAATCTCATTTATTTCCTAGGATTGCTTTCTCATTTAGCACTATGACTCAGCACGAACTGGATTCTAACCTATTCAGATCGCATCCCTCCCAATTTGACAAGAATTTATAGCTTGCCCGATTCTTCAGAATTCTGTGAACGAACAAAAAAATTCGAAATACGGGGCGCAATTAAATATTGCAAACATTGTGCACTCTATGGTAGCGAGAAGCAAAAACAGGAATATGGAAACTCACTAAAATGAACTCCTGTAGATCCAAACAACCATCGTTATCGATATCCGATAAGTCCCAAACTCGACCCAGTGTTTCCACTGAGAGTTGAGATTTCATCATAGCCTTGAATAATAAAGGAATGAAACGAGAAATTATCAGGGAAAGAATATACGGACGTCTTGCTCATTTGCACAGGATCAATGACAATTGTACCATTTAGTTACCAGAAATAAATTCCTCCCACGAGGTAGCATGCATGATACCGGAGAAGGATTTGGGTGTAAATGACGATAACGGGATTAAAAACAAGACCATTTACAGTATACAACGGAGCTTTATTCGGATTATACAACTCATTTGCACCCTGAATGTTGATTTCAATTAAAGGGCTGTCATACAACACAAAGAGAATGGGGAAAGTTAAGCGGTGGCAGTGGGATTCGAACACTGGTCTTCCCGGGGCAATAATTTCGTTACTTTTACCGCTTGATTACCAAAATTTTTCTTTTAATTACCATCCATCAAATTTAATTTGGAAGACCTGAGTGTCTAGATTTCACCGCGAAGTACAGATACTTTTTTATTTTTTTTTATTACGTACTCCCGTGTGATGCAAAGCAGACGGGGCGAAACCCAGTCACGAGGACCTGCTGTTCAGTGGTGGAAACCGGTAACCTAAGCCCCGCGGGACTTGGAGTGGTGAACCACATAAAACCCCGATAGGTGTGGTACAGAACCGGACGACAGCCAAACCGCCTACCACCAAAGTTGGGTGGCGGTGGTGGGGCTCGAACCTCGGACCATAGAGTCCGAAGCACACCTGTGACAGCGACTAAACCACTGCGCCACCATCACCCAACACTGGCACGAATAGTGCAATTGGATAACGAAACAACCGTTATGCAGCAAACGATATGAAAAACAATCATTAGTATTAATATTTCAGATGGTTGATTTAGGTGGACATCGCCCCGATGTTCGGGTGAACGTTTATCATGCTAGCACAATTGACAGAGACACGTTCATAATAACAGGTGGTAGGCAGATTTGCTGTCGTCCATTTCAAAACCACAACCAACCTACAGCAGTCTTATGTGATTTGCCACTCCAACTTCCGAGGCTTAGGTTACCGGTTACCACAACTGAACTGCAGGTCTTCGTGACTATGGGATTCGCCCCGTATGCTGTTCAGTACATAAATGTACTTTATAAATAAAATACAAGCGACGAACAAGCTCGTTTTTGGTGATCCATATACTGGTTAATTACACTATAGTTTACGTTTAAACACTCCATTTTTAGACCGTCCGGACATGAAAAGATTTTCGAACTAGGCACGGTAATCCTCCGTAGCTCCTTGGGTTTTACTTTAGTTTACTTATACTTTACGGCGGCTGGCTCCTTGAAGAGGATAAGCCGGCTTCATGGTCATCCCGAATTGTCGCTGCTCACGCTCGGCGATCCGCGGCAAGATCAGCGCAGCTTACGATCCAGCTTGACTTCCATTAGCGAAGACCGTAGGCGGAGCGGAGAATAAGGTTTTCAGCTGTCCACCGTGTCGACAGCGCCAGTTCTGGCAGTGAAGTGGTGCCAAGACAGCTTCGGCCACACAAAATAAAAATAATTCCATACCGCATCGGTCGTAGCGCAGGATAATCAATACCGCGCTGCCCATTGCATCGAGCGGGGTAGTTAATGATAAGTGGGCTACTGCTCAGATATCTCAACCTTTGTTTAACTCTGTCTTCCGTTCCAAACCCTCTCCTTTCACCCCTTATACCGACCCGTAATAGTCCCTCAAGCAACTTGGATGTCGCTTGCCAAAGGTCATTGCCAAATCGCACTGTAAGTGATTTACCACGGAATGGATTGCAGATTCTAAAGCCTCATCAATCACTTAATCTGGGGGCCTTCAATGTGATGACTTTGATACAGCTAGGTCAACAAGTTTGTCTGGCTCGTACAATGGAATCCTTAGGAATCGATATTTGCTGCGTGTCAGAAACTCAGATCCAGGATCCTACTATTCTAAGCCAA